CTGGTAGTGCACTGTACATGCTGAAGAACATCTAATTATTTATGGGAGTAAAACTGAGGTTGCAATATGACGAAGTACGTAGAGGAACACCTAAAATTTTGTCATTTTCTGAAACATATGGAACGATACTAACATATCCTCGCATGCAGGCCTACATCGACAAATTCAGAAGAGAGCTACCTGTTGTGCTTGTCGATTCACCCTACAACAAAATGAAATACGGGACTAGGTTCAGGCAGTACCATGCTAGGCAATCGGATGCAGCTGCGGTTGAAGACGACGAGGATGCGAGCAGTTAGTCTAGCATTGTGGTTCATTCTTACATGTGGAGTGTACACTTGGCCATAAAGCGATAGAGTAGGGTGTGGTTGGGTTTTAGTCCCGAAGAAGGTTTCCTAGCCGTGTTATTAGTCCATTGCACATGAGCCAAGTTGTAAAACTTCAATAATATTGGTTACTATATTTTGCTTGAAATAAATTTGGTCTCTACGGGATCTCGTAGAAATCTATATTTGCTTTTTACTACCATGTGACAATAATGGTGCCTGGGGCAACCCTAGAAGAATAATGGATTATGATATGTCTATTTTCATACGAGAGAAAATTTTATTAAAGCATGAGCATAGCCTCACAACAGAAGTCAAAATACTGCCTGATTCAACACGCAATCCCAGCTATGTCTCGTAGGCAGGCCGCAAAGCCAAAAAAATAGAGCATAGGATAACAAGAGTAAAAGCACGTACCATAGGGGGCCTCTGCAGGTGCTGCAACGCTGAATTGAACGATCACCTTCAGGAGCACAGTGGTGTGGCCATGGTACATCCATCCTGCCTCAGGGAATCACATAGCATGTTCTGTCATAGCCCTGCAAAACAGAGGAAAAATTACTAGTTATACTAACCTTGTCAAGTGTGTGCATGTAACAAATGTTGGACATAACTAAACACGGAAGAATGAAATGCAACATATGGAAGAATCGAATGCTCATTCCTTTCTCTCTGCTTTTTGCGAGGACCATTACTCTCTCTTTAACAAGGCTAAAACATCATAATAAGACTTAACAACAATCTTGAAAAGGTGGATATCCCATGTGAATCTAATTTTTCATATAAAGTACATGCCAAGTCTGTTGATCCCAGTCCAGCAATTGCACAAGAAGAAGCGAGCATCATAAATATTGAGCAACATAAGCTATGAATTGTTTATAGTACATTCCAAAATTAATAGCTTATCATCTCCATTGATCTCCAAATCTCACCTATCAGCCAAATTGAAAGAATACATGTTGAATGCAACAATTGAACGTTCGTAGATCAAGCAGTCGGGGGTGGACGAATGAGGCTAACCGTCGAGGCCGGCGGCCGGCTTCATCTAGTCCCGCAGAACATGATCCATACCCAACCACCTTGCCATCGGACGAGATGCATGGCCAGATCAAAGCTGCAGCCATGGCTGAGAAATGATATGTAAAGGACGCAAACAACCAATTGGGGTGTGGGAAAGAGGTTGCCCTTGTGGCTATAGGCACCATGGAGAACTGGGAGGTGGGATGGCGCCGACTCTTCGCCGGCGGCCGCCGCGGGGAGGGTAGTGGGCCTCCTCTCGTGTTCGTTGAAAATGCGGTGCGAGATCGCGAGGGAATTGGGGTGGAGGAAGGGAAGGGCCGCGACGCGCGGCTAGATCCTGCCGGCGACGAGGGAGGGAGGGGCCGCGACGAGCGGCTAGATCCTGCCGGGGACGAGGGAGGGAGGAGCCGCGACGAGCGGCTAGATCCTGAAAACCGTAGCGGCGGCGAGGCATAAACCCTAGCGAACGGGATAAATATCGAACCGAAAATAGCCCTCAAATTCATACCGAAAATACCCTCGAAATATTTGGGAGGGAAAATCAGATCAGTTCGAAATATTTTTTCTCCCGAAAATGCCCCTCGGGGTCTGATATAATACACGTGACATTGGTGTATTGCATCGGATCTGGACCGTCGATTTCGCTCCGACGGACGGTCCATATCGTCCGGATGCACTGTAAAATGACTCCATGTTTTTAGTGCAGCAATGGAATGGAGCGCCAAGGTGCAAGAAGAACTTTTGAGGCTCTCATCACCAACCGTCTCAATACATATGAAAGCCCTTGGTCTCGGTGTCGCGGCGTTTTGCGGTGTTGTTAGTCAGTTCGTGGTGTTTCTAGCTGTTGTTGCACTAGACTATACTTTTGTCAGTTATCGGTCACTGAGGCGTGGCTGGTTGCCGCATTTGTATTGTTTTGGCTGTGGAGTTATTCGACGTTGTATGACTAGTGGCTATGAGTGGGAGGGCCCTGGACCTTTTGGTATTTGTGTTGTTGTTTGTATCACAATCTTTTGGGCACAAGTCCATGGGGTTTGAACTGAAATCTCCAGGAAATTGATGTGCAAGGCAATGCTGATACTCTCCATTGCCTGTTCAATGGAAAATTTGTTCTTTGAGGTTTACCTGGTATATTGATTGGTCCTATGCTCTTTTTTGCCATTCCATGTTGCCATGTCTTTGATGATGTAAACGACTTGTTGATCCATTTATTCAGTTGATAATCAGTTTGCCCTTGGAGGATCCATGCCGATTGATGGATGGATGTATATGTTACCAGATCCATTCGCTTGTAAACACCCGCCATCGTATACTTCTTGCGTACAATTCTTATGAAATACAAGAGATGTTGCTTGAAATTCTTGTGAAATATAAGAGAAAAGAGACTGCACATAAACATCAACGAAGGCTTGTACATTAGGAACATAAAAATAACGAACTCTAGAACAATCCCTTTTTTTACATCCTCAAGGAAAAAACAGAGTAGCCAGCTTGATTTACTTGGAAAGTTTGCTGAAAGAACAGGGGAACTTGAACTCGGTACAATATTCTATTATTGAGATTATAAAAGCTGTGAGAAACCCGTGCCATGTAATAATTGCCTTTGTTGGAAACGAAGGGGGATCATCATTATCATCGTCATTAAACGCCCTAGAGATGCCCGCCGGCCTTCCATATTGTGCCACCCTACTGATCCGCGGCATCCTTGTTTTCTCGACCATGCCTTCTTCTAAGAGCATCTCTCTATATATACTACAAGGAGTCATTCATCCGCGTGCGGGATGCGCGTGCGACTTAGGACTTGGGCGACGGCGAGGAGAGGAGAGGAGAGGTTGGCGGCCTGCCAGACATTGACGACACAGATGAGGATCCACGCCGCTAGCTAGAGAGGTGCAGGCTTTGATAAGGAGTTCCTGACGTATGTGTACCTTGCAGTGTTTGAACTTGCATGCATCCGTCACTCTCTAATCTAATGGGCACCGAACCCTTCTCAGCTTGCACGTACTCTAGAGCTTCAAGGTGGCAGACAGAAAGAACCTGGACGCTCACTCTATCCGTATATTGTATGCTGATATATGATGATCATCCGATGAAGACGCATTATATTATGCTACAAAAGGGCGACATCATCAGTGACGAACGGAGATTTTAGGCCCCGGCCGTATGTACTAACGTCCATGAGGAGATCAGTTCAACATAGAAATCAGTCACTTATGGTTGATTAGATGGCTTTATATTAAGTTTTGCATGTAATTTAGAGGTGACAAAAAAACATGTCTATAATGGGTCATCTTTTAGCTTTATCTTCAATAACTAGCTATTCCTAAAAATATGATGAGACATATTGTGTTAAGAGATCATCTCTTGTCGAAGACGAGTCTTTTCTTATTTTCTCTCCCCTCCACCTCATTATAGACATATTGCACTGTATTTACCTTTCTCTTTTTTCTTCTGGGAGCTTAAACTCATTTTTATATAGTGCTGCTACAATTTCTTAAACAAAATCAATAATAGAACACGCACTAGGAGAAATCCTACTGTTTTCCGTCAAAAATGAATGGGAAGTAGCCTGTTAATGAAGCCAAACATTGCAGCAGCGTTTCACCCCCATGCAGCCAAGAAGCAGAGCACCGTGCATTCTAGTTTAACTTTGAATCAGTTTATCGTAGAACAGCCCCCAATTTAAAGGGTTCTTACACACTATATCAAACAAGCAACATTATATAGAAATTTCTCTATTGTGTGTTGATAGTATATGTTACAGAGAGGAAGAAACAAAAATCACACTTTTAAGACTCAACGTTCACTGCTTATTTCCATGATCATTTATAAATGATGGTGCAAATGTCAAGCTTTAACCCACGCATCCACAAAGCCCGTCATGGCCGCATCTGATTCTCCACCCTCGAGTAGAGCATCATTCGCCTGCCGCATCACTGCTAGAGTTCTTTCTCGGAGCACCCTCCCGCCCTCCGAATCCATCATCCACCTGACCTTTTTGGCAATCTCCTTTGCCTCCACCATCTCCTTGTCGTACCCTTCCATCACGACAGCCAACTCCATCTCTTTCTCGAGGAACACCGCATTCATCTTTTGCTCCGCGTACAATGGCCAGGCCAGCATAGGCACACCTGCCATAGTAGACTCGAGCACCGAGTTCCACCCGCAGTGTGTCACAAAACTTCCCACAGCATGATGTGCTAGAACGTCACCTTGTGGTGCCCATGACTTCACAACTAGGCCCCTGCCCTTGGTCCGGTCCAGGAAACCCTTCAGAAGCAGCACATCCAGGTCCGGCTCTGTAGTCGTCGTCGCTCGGCGGGCTCCGCACAACCCAGAGGAACCTTTGTCCACTAGCCTCCAGCCCGGTTGCCAGTTCCCTTGTTTGTTTGGCGCTGAACCGGCCGAGGCTGCCAAAGCACAGGAACACCACACTGGCCTTGGGTTGCGTGTCCAACCATGCGAGACACTCGTCTCCACGCTTCATGTCCACCTCCTCTGACTTGACTAGCGGCCCAACGCAGTAGACTGGGGGCGTCGAGAGGCCAGCTGGGGCGGAGAGCCCGGCGAGGATGGTGTCCATGGCACGAGGCTCCAGCGAGCGGAAGGTGTTGATGAAGATGCCCTGTGATCGGAACAGGTTGAGGCTTACATTTAGTAATGCCTGGTAGGACGCACCGTCACGATCCATGAGTGGCTGAATGGAGTGTGTCGCCGGAAACGGGGTGATCCCCGGGACGTGCACGAGTTCTTCGCCCATTTCCCGGAAGCTCCTCGTGGTTTCCCATGCAGAACCGTGAGGTGCATAAAGAAAGCCAGGATCTGGGCGCCGGAGGTGGAGAAGAAGTAGGCGGGGATGTTGAGCTCCGAGGCTACGTCCATAGCGGCACTGCAGAAGAAGTCCACCACGAGGAAGTCCGGAGATGCACCAGCGAGGAAGTCGCGTAGATGCGGGTTGGAGAGGCGGGCGAACGCTAAGGCCGGCATCACGGAGTCGTCGGACTCCAGGAGCTTGACCTGTGGCAGACGATGGAAAGAAATGGAGGGGTTGGCCGCGGAGACACCGGCGAGGAAGGGGCCCGTGGCGCCGGTATCGTACGGCGGGTCCATGAGAACGACGGTGATGGCTAGCCCACGGGCGGCGAAGAGCTTGGCGAGCTCGATCATGGGGACGAGATGCCCCATGAGTGGGGACGAGTAGAGCATCACCCGCGGCTTCCGGGGACTGATCGTGGTGGTGTTGGCTGTGATGCCGTCCATGTCGGCAACAAGAACTTTCGTTGTTGATATGTGGTGTGGGTTGTGGAGTGTAGGCTTGTGTTTGGAATGTCACAAGGTGGTAGGATGGCAAGTGATTGGTGAAGATGACCCAACATGGATTGCAGCCGTGTTGCCCAGGTTATTAGGTGGAGATTGTTTGAACTTGCATCCGTCACTCTAATCTAATGGGCACCGAACCTTCTCAGCCTCAAGGTGGCACACAGAAAGTACCGGGATGCTCACTTTATGTGTATAATATATGGTGATCATCCGATGAAGGCACATTATGCTAGAAAGGGCGACGTCATCAATGACGAACTCAATCAGACTTTACGTCCCGGCCGTGTGTGCTAACGTCCCATGGGGAGATCAGTTCAAGATAGAAACCAATTACTAATTACTAGAATCTGGTACTCCTACTACCTTTGCACGTTAACTAATACAGTAGGGAGTAGTGCTGTCCAAGAAAACAGTATGGAGTAGCAGCAGGCCGGTGAACGTACGTCATTGCTTATTGTGTTAGCCACAGTGCTTTTTTATGATTAAAAAAACAGCAGTACTTCTCTTTTTTTGTTACGAAAGACCTATCTTGATCGACTACCTAAGTATTATCGTCAATCGATCCTTATTCAAAATAATATCAGTGCCATGTTACACAAAACTAGTGTTCTAGCCTTATTCTTAATGTCTGATGATTAATCTTAATATGGGTAGACTAGAGGGTGTGAAGAGTACAAGGCAATACCACTTTAAAGTGGCAAAATGACAGTAATTATTAGAGAAAGATCGGGAAATTGGGGAATCGAAAGGGCAATGAAAACTAGCCGAGAGAGGATGGAAGAGAAAGAGGGGAAAGAAACAAAATACGAAAAGTAAATGTAAATACAATGCAAAACATTTTTTTAGGGGAAAACGTTGTCACTTTATTCAAAGTTAATAGCTCCCTCGGTAGCAATCTCCGAGCTAACACACTCAGGAGAAAGATGGAGCCAAGTTTTACATAGAGATCTAATACAACCTTTCTTAGCAAAGACATGTGCGACTTTATTCACCGAACGTCGCACCCAAGCAACCATGAACTCCTGAAAAGAGCTGAGTAAATCTTTGACCTCCTCAACTAGTTGCCCATTAGTTGAAAGGTCATTTTGGCGTTAAAAAAACAGGCCACGTGTAAGCCGGTTTTGTTTCACGGGATTTGGCTTATATCTTCATACTTTTAAAAATTCCCTAAAGTAAGCTGAGAACCTTCTGGCACCCACTCGGCTTATAGTCTTCTCCGTCATGGGGCTGTCAAGCACCTCTGTGATGGTCACGTGGCAGGAAACATTCCCGAGGCTTGACTGTAAGCTGAGAGCTTTTTTTTCTACTCCCTCTGTATCAAAATATAAGACCTTTTTTAACACTATAATAATGCCAAAAATCATCTTATATTTTGGTACGGAGGGACTATATGCCAAGTGGATTTGATAAGGCAAACACTTCTTTTTCTCATATTTGGCTTATTGGCAATTAAACCGAGTTCTCATTCTTTGCCATGCGTTCTTCACTCAGTACTCGGCTTACGAGAAAGTAAGTCGAGTGCCCGTATTTTTACACTCGGCTTACATCCAATCACATGGTGATGTGTTATTTTCCTGTAGTAGTTGTAATAAATTCTTTAAGATTTCAGAGGCTACTCATCGAATGTGGAGGTCAAATATGCTTTCTGTTCTAAATGAAAAGGTTGTGCGTTGCACTCTTGTACATATACTTTCTTATTTTAAGTTAAGATTTAGAAGAAGGTAAACCCTCCTAGGACAAATAATGTTAAGCAACCAACTTTCTTTCTTGAAATCAAAGAAACCAACTTCATATTAAGAAAATTGGGGTTTTCGGCCTACCCTTTATTCCTCTTCTGTCTCGGTGATGCTGCTCACAATTAAATTTGAGGCTAGTGGGTTAGACCTACTTATACTACTAATTTCAGTCCTCGTTTGTCTGTATGCAGATAACCATCCAAGTTCAAACCAACTTATTTACAAATAGAGTTCAGGTGCGATGAACAACCACAATATAATCCAATTTTGATCGAACACTATTTGTTAGATTCTAGGACATGCACATGTGAGTTGTACGCCATAACTAAACTAAATGGTCAATTATGTAGAGCATAGTCAGAGTTGTAATCTAACCATTGATGATCTAGTTTCTTTCAATTATCAGTGTACCCATATAGTCTTTCCAGTGTACATAGTATATTGTGTTCCACTAATCGAATAGCTTCCTTAAACATATATATAATAGTTAATTACGTTACAACAAGGACTAATTTCATGTTAAACATGCAAAGTATTTCCATGTACAATTTCACAATGGGGCATTCCGAATATTAATAATTTCAAGTAATTTAAATATAGTTATAAGACACATGATCCCAACATCTCCCAGTTGTCCAGAACTATCATTCAAATATCCGTAAACCGTGTTGCCCAGGTCAGGTGGAGATTGTGTTTGAACTTGCATGCATCCGTGTCACTCTAATGGTCACCGAACCTTCTCAGCCTCTGCTGCTCTACTGCTTCAAGGTGGCAGACCGAAAGAACCTGGATGCTCACTTTGTCCGTATATAGTATGCTAATATATGACGATCATCCTATGAACGAAGGCGCATTATGCTACAAATGACAACGTCATCAATGACGAACGGAACCAGACTGTACGTCCCGGCCGTATGTGCTAACGTCACATGAGGAGATCAGATCAACAAGAAACTAGCTCTAATTTATTAATCTGAGTATACTCCTACTACCTTTCCTTTTTTTTTTGCGGGAAGTCATAGGGATTTTATTCCAAGATAATAGAGTTACAATCCTCGGCGACTAAATCACTGGCACACGGAGGAGCTTGCCCCAGCCAGCATGCTGTGCTATCTCCACACCGTCCAAAGTTCGCTAAGCAATCTGCAACCCTATTCTGATAACAAGAAATTTTTACAGGAACAAAAACCCTATCACTTCAGAGAAATTTAATCTCCTGGATCATATGGCCGAGCGCTGATCTATCCATGGATGCATCAGATATAGCTTTAAGTGCCGAAGCACAGTCTGATTGTATGATGACCATTGAATTGGAGTGCTCCACTGTCAGTTTAATTCCTTCTAATATAGCATGTAGCTCCGCTTCAAAGACATCGTTGCAATGGAATAACTTTCGGTACGCAGCAAAGATTACATCCCCGCTTGCGTTCCTCAATATCATACCCGATCCAGCCGAGCCATCTGTGACATTAAATGAACCGTCCACTGACAGCGCCACCGCACCTATCTCAGGGGGTGGCCAAGGCTCACGATGCATGGGGTTTATACTGCCCTCTCTCTCGACAAAAGTTTCAGTGAACACCGGAGACTTGCCCTTGATTATCTCATCCACCCCACGTGAAATCTGACTGAACGTATTATAGTAGCTGAGAAGGAATGAGCATGATACCTCTGGTGGTGGTATGGACTTACCATGTACCAGCTCATTCCGGAGATGCCATACTCTCCATAAGACCATGATAACTCTGCTCCTGATAGACTCATGTGTTTCTGCAAGGAGGTGAAACAGCCATTCAGTCCCAGTCCATTTTATTAATGATCTATTCGGCAGATGCCAATGATTCAGCATTAAGTCCCAAAGATTAGCAGCATTTGGGCAGGATATGAGCGCATGAAATGATGATTCCTGCTCCCGATCACACAGTCTGCAGTACCCACTCAGCTCGAAATGCCTTCTTATCTTTTCAGCATCCGTTGGCAGGGCGCCTGAGGCCACTTGCCAAGCAAAGTTTTTGAGTTTTGGTGGAACCGCAGCGTTCCACACTAAACGCCATAGAGATCTATCACTTGATGGGTGATTGATGGAGGAACCTGGACAAAACTGTTCATAATGGTCCGCCATCGCCACATGATAAGCACTTTTAACTGTCAGCATGCCAGATTTCTCCCAAGGCCAAGAAATAAAGTCCTCTCGTTGCCTCACAGATGTTCTGATCTTGAGGATGGAGTCCACATCCGGCTGCCAAAAGTGTCGCTGTACCAGCTCCATCTTCCAGTTACCCCGATCATCTATGAAATCACTCACTCTGTTAAGGCGACAGTTCCTCTTGGGAGTAATGGGTGTATATGGCGGTCCACGTGGAATCCATGGGTCCCTCCACACGCGAATATTAGCACCATTGCCAACACGCCATAACATGCCTTTCTTCACTAGTTCCAGGCCATACTCTATTCCTTTCCATACTGCCGAGGAGTTTCCCGAAAACACTGTATCGACCAAGCTACCATTGGGAAAGTATTTAGCTCGAAGGAGCCTAGCACATAGAGAATCCGGTGTCATTAGGAGACGCCAAGCTTGCTTAGCAAGCAACGCCTGGTTATAAGCCTTCATGTCTCTGAAACCGAGACCTCCTTTCAACTTGGGTAAAATTAGCTTATCCCAAGCAGTCCATGCCATTTTCCGCCTGCCATTCTCCACCCCCCACCAATATTGTCTCATCATTTTTGTTAGATCATCGCACACAGAGAAAGGGAGTTTAAAAATGCTCATGACATAAACTGGGATGGCTTGTGCAACAGACTTGATTAAAACTTCTTTGTTGGCTTGTGATGAATACCTTTCGCTCCAGTCAATTAACCTCTTGCTCAATCTGGATTGTAATGACTCAAACCGGCCCTTATGCATACGGCCTTCCGGTACAGGGAGGCCAAGGTACTTGGGTTCAAACTCCTGTTGAGTGACTTGCAGAATACCTTTCACTTCTTCAACCACCCGAGGAAGGCAACTATCAGCAAACATGATGGAACACTTTGAAGGATTGATTAGTTGACCGGTAGCTGAGGCATATGTGTTCAAAACATCCCTGACAATTACCGCTTGATCCGAGGCAGCCCGAAAAAAGAGCAAGGAGTCATCTGCAAACAATAAGTGTGAAATAGCCGGAGCACCCCGGCAGATTTTTATACCTTCAAGACCTCTTTCTT